TGTGTGAGCAGGAATGGTTCATTAAGGTATATAATTCCTTGTGATTGTAAAAGGCAGACTCTTGACATGGAATCTCTTCAAGTGTATTTTTTTACTTTCTTTCCACCCTACTTTCCTGCCAGACATGAGCCTTTTGACTGGCTATTTGCCAATTCCCAGTCTACCCTAAGCTGAAAAATATGACCCATCACTGAGAAAGCAAGACATATTTGAGTACTTTGATATAGTATATATTGTTGAAATCTTTTAACTCCATTTAACTGAGGTTTAATTCTGATGACAAAAATGGGAATACAAAGAGCTTTTGGCTTAGAAGCTTCCATCGAATCATTGATCTAATTTGAAATATTTTCAAAGGCAAGAATCATTTGCATATTAAAAAAATGATACAGTAGTTTTGCCCTCCAAGGATGATCCTGGAGTACTTAGAGTTAATGATTGAAGATGTAAGAAAGTTCTCAGAACTAAGAAATGTATGGAAATGTATGTTATGAAATGTAAAAACATGGCTGGGTTTTGGTTTTTGTCTTCCATTCAAATATTAAAACTGAAATACTATGAAGGTACTTTTTTGAAAAAGGGCTCCAAATACAGAAATTTATTTTATATAAGTAAGAAGCTAAATGGTACACATTTAGTACACAAAAGAAAGATAGGAAAAGATGAGCTACTTCTGGAAATCAGTAGAAATTTTTCTTCTCATGAAAATTTAAAGAAGATATTTTTGTTATCCCTAATTTGTTTATAAGATAAAGCAATCTATCCAGGTTAAAAACAAAACAAAACAAAACAAAACTTCTATCACAATAAGGATCAACTAACTTAAGTAATACCAGCAACTCCCTAAAATGAAAGTTTTCTCTTACATTATGATGAAAGAATCTGGTCACTTATCTTCAAGTAGAATCTCAATATCTGTAGTTTTATGCTGATTTGTATCCAATTTGGGTAGAAATGGATATGAGTGTTTATCTTACATAATAGCTTGCCACAGCTTACTACTTGAATCATGTAGCATTTGGAAAATGTGTTTATCTCCTTGTGGACTTTCACAAACGAAAAAAGGATCCATTTCTATTCACACGGCTTGTTTACAGTCATTATAAAAGTATGTTACTGTGTTGCTTACTACTTAGAAAAAGCAAATGTTGGTGCACTACAGACTCTATTGCATTGGCCTTTAAGAAGTATATGTATTGCTTTCCAGTTTAAAAAAAAAAGAGAGATTATATTTCTTGTGTTTTAGACCTAAACATTTTTTTAAGGATCTATTTTTAGTCTTCTACCTTATCACTCTTCTAGATACTTTATAGTAGTTATGCTGAAATTTTACATATATATATTAGAAATTGTGCTCATGCTTAAATTAATTGTCATTGAGGGATTAATCTTGTAACCTTTTATGAGCATGTTTTATTAATATCTTATCATTAAATTTAATATTACTAATATTTAACATTTAATAACCATAGAATGTATATGTAGGAATGTATTTTGTGCCAGTGGGCTTTGAAAATGTGGAAAGGTCACTATACTAGTAAAAAAATTATTAAACATACTCCCCATAATATATTAATTGCACTCATTCCCTTCATTTAAGAGGCAGTTCTGGATAACCAAGTTTATAATACTTTTGTTTGTCAGCATGCTTAACAATATGCCTTCCAGGAATGGAAGTATTTGGTACAGCTTTTCAAAAGATCTGTTGCACTCTTACATTCTGGAAATATATTTGCTGTGAAATGATTTATAATTAAACAGAAAACTGATAAAGTAGAAGGAGAGAATTTAAAACTATAACTATTATACTAATTTAGTTATTCTTATTGGTAAAGCAGTATAAGTTGTCTATAAGAGTACCTTTTAATTGATTGAATAATTAAAGTATATTTTAAACTGTTTTTATCTTCAAAAGATCTTAATTATTAAATCATTTTCCTTTCATATATATATATATATATATATATATATATATTTGTTTGTTTAAATGGCTCACTATGAATTTAAACATTTGGTAGGTATCCTGACACTAAAAATCCACTCCTTTTTAAAAAATGGCAATTGAAAAAGATTATGTAAAGTTGAAAAAAGTAACTTTTATATAGGCTATGTCAGGTAGGAGAATATATGTGACTCTCTGAAGCAGTTTTATTTCCATTTGGAAAAATTCCATGGTGGTATCAAGGTTCCTTTGTATTATTTGGTTTCTTTTATTTCCCACCCCCCCTGAATGATGTAAAACTAGTAAAACTAATATTTAGGGAAATTGTCTTTAGGTATTTCACTAATTCTCACTATTTTAAGTTATTTTAATAAAATCAAAACTTACACATAGAAACATGTACATACGGATACTGTACGTATGTACATGTATAATGTACAAACATCAATTAAATAAATTATGTAAATTATGTAATTAAATCACCATGACTGAAGATCTCCTATGTTCACAACACTAAATGAGACCCCATAAAGAAGTAAACCTGGTGTGTAAAGCAATGACATCCTGGCATATCCTTTAAAATATAGGGTACAGGTTCCCATCGCAGAGAAGAAAAGACCCTGAAAAGATGGGGAAGTCAATATCACCAGAGACCAGTTAGATACATAAGGAAAAGAGATGACCTGCAGGGTTCTGGCGTGAGTGACTAGGTAGATTCGGTACACCACAGAGTACAAAGTGGGAAGTTCAGGAGAAGCTGAGATACAGTAGTTAGGATGAGATAGGAAACAAGAATTCAGAACTCTCTATAAATGGAGGTTAGTTTCAGGGAAAGTATAAATTAGTTAAATCTGTACCATAGCCCTCACTTCATCTTCTCAAAATTAACCATCACTGTGTAACTCACATCTTTGTCCCCTTTCCTCTGGACTAAGTGGTTCTCCAGGCTTTGTATTACAAAGTGGTCATGCCAAATAAAATCTCATAACCTTTCTCTTTTGCTTAAAACCTTTCACCAGTTTCTTATGCCTGTAAGAAAAAGTGTGATTTCCTCCACTTGGTATGGAAGGGCCCCTAGGATGGCTCCCCCAGCTCTCCTACAGCTGCGCCTGCTGGCCTTGCACATTGTTCGTACAGAAACTCTGGCATTGATCCACTGGGCAGACCAAGCTATTTTAGAAATGTGTGCCTTTGCATCCCTCCTGCATAGGGTGCTGTCTCTGCTTTCCACCTTGTTTCCTTTCCTAAACCTTTGTAACCGGTGACTCAAGAAGACATTCAAATATTCTCTATTATGAACTTTTTTCTGACCCTTTTCAATGGCAATACTTCATCTGTTATTGCTACACCTTTCATTTTTAATTTGACAGACAACGGTATTTTAATTATTTATATCTGCCTCTCTCATTAGACCATGGAATTTCAGTTAATTTGGGCTGGGAAAAAGTCAAATGATGTAATAATCCATACTTTTCTGCCAAAATGCGTCTCTATCAATGATAAAAGGGAGCACTTTAGATTTGCCCAAGGCCAAATTCTTCTTTCCAAGAAATTTGGATAAATTTCAGGGCACCATTTAATATACACTCCACACTTATAAGAAGATAGTATTCTAAATATCAAATATATACAAAAGAAGAGAGAACGTATAACACATTCTATTATCCAATTTCAACAATTTTTAACTAATGGTGAATCTTGTTCCATCCATACCATCCATGGCTCTACTCCCCTTTTTTCTCCCTTTCTGAAGCAGAATCCTAGACATGATATAACCTTTCATTTGCAAATATTACTATACGTATTTATAGAAAATAAGGACACTTTTTGAGACCACACTGATGATACCATCATCACACCTAAAATATTAACAATTCCTTAATATTAACAAATCTCCAATTAGTATTCAATTTTGCACTGCTTCTCATTCTTTAAACAGTTTGTTTGAATAAAAACCTGGTAAAGTCTCTACTTCATGACTGGTTGATATGTTTCTTTTGGTCTAAAGCAGTTGTCCATCAGGGGCAATTTTGCCCTGTAAAGGACAATTTTGGCAGTCTGGAGACATTTTTCATTTTCACAACTGCAATGGACTGAATGTTTGTATCCTCCCCAAAATACATGAGTTAAAACCCTAACCCCAATGTGATGGTATTTGTAGGTGGGATCTTTGGGAGCTAATTAAGGTTGGGTGCGTTCATGCAGGTGGGGCCCTCATAATGGGACAAATGCCTTCATAAAAAGAGGAGAAGACACAGGATCTCTCTCTCCGTGTATGTGCACCAGGGAAGGACTTGTGAAAACGGAAACAGGAAGAAGACGCCAACCAAGATCCCAGCCGCGCTGGCACCTTGGTCTCAGACATCCAGCCTCAGAACTGTGAGAAATAAACCTTTGTTGGTCAAGCCACTCAGTGTATGGTATTCTGTTACAGCAGCCCAAATTCACTGACACAACTAAAGGGGAGTGCTGCTGGTATCTAGTGGCTAAAGGCCAGGGATACTGCTAAACATCCTGCAATGCATAGGACAGCTACACAATAAAGAATCACCCAGCCCCAAATGCCAAGAGCCCGAGGTTGACAAACCCTAGGCTGGAGGTTTTCCTTCACCTATTTTTTACTGAAGTTATTTGTTGAATAAGCTGGATCGTTTGTCCTACAGAGTTCCGCAGAGTTCACATTTGCTAATAGCACATCGTTTTATCATTTAAGGTATTTCTCTGTCTCCTGTATTTATTAGCAATTAGATTTAGAAGGTTCATCAGATTCAGATTCAACTTTTTTAGCAAAACTACTTTATTCTATTTCATAAATAGTGTTGTACACTTCCATGAGGGGGCATATAATGTCTAACCATCTCTCATCACTATAGGAAGCTTCACGACCGATGTCTGTATCCATTAATTCATTAGAAGTTGAAAAAATGATGATAAATGTATTTTTATAATTTCTTCATTTACTGCAAATGTGACTGTTCCTTGGAAATAGTTATTACAATGTTCGAGATGAAAAGACTATTGTGCCTAGGACATTTACACATTCCTTATTTCTTTATAGAAATATCCTGTACCACCTTGATGAGAAGACAAGCCAGTTTTCAATCCTCCTGGAGGCACAGGAGCACTGCAAGTTACTTGCCTCAAATGAGACCCTTCAAGAAGCCCTGTCAGAGGTGTTGAAGAGCATTAATTCAGCTCAGGTTTACTTCAAAGCAGGACTTGATGTGTTCGAGAGTGTCTTGGTTGCAAAGAACTGAGAAAACTCTCAGCATTTTAAAAAGTTTGTTTACAATTCCTCAAGCAAAAGCTCTAATCTAACAGGATTTTCTGACATTGAAGACTTTCCCCCCAGTCACTTTTTATACAAGTCTAAAGCTATTATGACATTGTGTTTTTAAATGTACATATAAAAGAGCATTTTGCACATTTAATATTTTCTTATATCGACATCTCTGAATATGTCAAAGCAAGTTATTGAAATAATCCTTAAGATTTATCTATTAAAAGGAATCTGCTGTATTTTTATATATATAAAATATGTGGGGGGAAAAGTTCCAAGAAGTTCTGGACAATCTTCACTCCTAGGGATAAAACATATAGGAACGGAAGTTATTCCCTATGTTACAGCTTTTAATGACCTAGTTTCTGTAGTAGATATGGAGAGTTGATATGGTTTCAGATTAACTTCACTAGTAAGTACTCAATATGAAGAATTCAAGTATTCTGACCAACTGATTGGTCGACCAAAACCACTTTGAATGTTTCTATTCTATGAAATGAAGTGCCTGTTCGTAATACAACTAGATATAGTAATACACTGGTTATGAAATTGTATTTTTTAAGTATTAATGAAAAAAAGAGCCATAAACATTCCAGGGGAATATCTCAAAGTAGTTGCACAAGAGCAATTTAAATGCAAATTTTTTCCTAACAACTTATAAGGTGACTAGCTTTGAAACCCCTAATTTGCCTCAGTTGATTTTGTACAAATTTCAGGAGTGATATATGTCTTAAGAGGGAGAAAATATTTCTGATTTCTTCTTCCGTTGGTTCTGTTGGAAGCACTGAAACTCAGCTATTCTGAAATGAAAGCATTTTGCATCACTCTTCCTTCTTGTATCTTTTCTGAAACTCCTTCTTGTAAGGCGGTTTTAACAGAATACCATGTAATTTCCACAGGAAAGTAGCAAAATTTCTCTTTGAAAACCTAAACTATCTTAAAAAGCATCAAATTGCTATTTCTGCCACTGACAAAAAGGACTTACAATGAAAGAAATAGTTGTTTGATCAATGAAAAACTTCTTAATTTTGTGAAGAAACTTTTGATATTTTTCCTTCTTTATCCTTCATTGTGACTAAGATGAAAGTAGCAGATATTCATGCTTCTAATTTTTGCAGAAAATACAGTGTTACTATAAGAGTGTGTCTTTCTCACACTTCAATTCTTCCCTCATGTGGAAAATGAAGTTTTTCATATTGACATTGTCATGAAATGGCCCCAGCATCCACTATTTCCCCCAAAGCCTAAAATTCTATTAGGTGACAGTTTAAACTTTGAACTTTATCCTTAGAAATATTCTTCTGATATTGAATAAAGCAATTCCCCTTAGGAAACATAGCCTCAGTATATTTTACGTGCATTGTCTCTACCTAACACAACACCCAGTCACACTTCCCTTTGTAGCTACTCCACCAGAGCGACATTACGGCCAATGCTTGTGTGTCGAAGTCTCCAGGTTTTATGGATAAGCCTAAACCTACTCTTACTTTAAAGGAAAGCTATAGTTGAGGGGAAAGAATTAATCAGTACTGATTAATTGATTTATAAGGGTCAGCTGTTCCTATCATAAGTAATGTTGATATGCTCAAGGCAAAGAGGAGAATTGATGCAACTAGCTAGATAATTCGAACAGAAATCCATTTTCCTATGAATTACTTGTGTGTGCATATTTTTAAGTGACAAATGAAGCTACCTTACAATTTTTTTTAAAACCAATGTGCTTGTTTGAAAATATTTCCCATGTTGAGGAGTATCTACAAGGAAAAGCTAAGAGGACCAGTCTCCTGCGTGCCGCCGCCTCAGTGCCCTCACTTGCTCCGCAGAAATCAAGAGCAGAGCAGAGGTGAGAAGACACATACAAACACCATTTGCAGCCAAATAAGAGAATGCTTTCTGCCAAAGGATCTTACATATTTAACCAAGCTTCAGTGTGTTCTTCCAGTTCTTCATTTAGAGTTGAAGTTAATTTAAAGCAAGCAACATTTTGGCTTTGAAGCTGAATTTAAAGCAAGCAAAAACAAGTAATTATTAGTTTGGTAGTTTATCATTTTAAAACAAAATCCTAAGGAAACTTACTCCCTTAGTCTGTAAGACTGTCGAAAGCACAAAATACACGTTTGTACTTTTTTGTCTAAAGATTGCCTACCTATGTAAACCACATTGCATAGATAAAAATCTCATATTATGTATTCTCCCATCTAGATTATATTATATTTTTTTTTTTATTAAAAAAAAAAAAAACTAAAGTTAACTATGTACTAGTGTGTTTTTGTTAGTCTATTTAAGAGATTATGTGAAGAAAGGAAATTATAGTTAAAACAGATGTCCACTAAATCTATAGATGCTGCTTTAGATCTTTGACTGCAACAAACCTCTTAACTAGAACATCACTGCTATGGGGTTCCTCTAAATTTATATCATTTTAATTTTTTTCCCTAACAAATCCAAGTAAATAAAATCCTATGCAAGTTAATAACAACTGTTTTTGGTGAATTGATAGTAGGTTTAAACTGTTGTGGAGATATCTGGGTGCCTGCCTGGTACTTCTCACAATCCTTCGTACATAGAATGGCGCCAGGGCATAATGAGTCACAAATGGTTATTCTCCCAAGAAAATGTGGCAGATGTTCACCACTTAAATTTGGGTTCAGGAAGGGTACACGTGGGCTACTGCCCTTTGCGGAAAAGCAGAGTTCTGTAAAAAGAAAGCCTAAGCGACATTCTAGTCTAAGCCCTAGGAAATTACCTTCAGCCAGGGAAAGAAAGCATCATCACTCCCATCAGATGCAGTGAGTGAAGCCAAAGTGATTAGCAACATGGATATAGTCACAGGTTTAGTTCGTAGAAAAAACACTAAACTAAAAAGCACTGGAATTTTTCTCTGCTTTCTCATGCAATGTACCCAACTCTCTCCCTGAGGTGCTAGGGCTGCAAATGATTTTTTCCAGTGCATTCTATGTAACTAGCCATTTAACCAGAGGCTATATGGTGTGGAATCACTGCTTTTAATTAAGGCCTAGTTCATTCTCTAACTACACATGAAAAACAAAACTGTCTGTCCCAGGGAACCCCTGTAAAGGACACCGAGGCTGGGTACTTTGGGGAAACGGGGAGAGTCTCTACATGACAACAGAAGTCAGAAAGGAGGGCACTGAGGAAAATGCTTTTCTGAGAGGACGTTTTAGCTCTATATTAATTTAGCAATCTAAATCAGTGTTTCCCAAAATGTGGATTTGGAGGAGGGAGGCCTAGGAATACTCATCCTTAGCAAGATGGCCCAGATAATAAGTACACTGAAATTTAAGAGTTTCTAATCTACACTGATCCTGGCTCTTGAGAAAACATTACTTGGTAATATATGCAAACAAAATAAAGAGTCACAATAACAGAAAGGACCCAAAACTCTGCTATTAATGGCACCATTAGAAGAAAAGAGACAGAGAGAAACCATTGCATCTCTCAAAAAAGAATACAGACACAGCTAACATCTGTGCCTACTACATGTCAGGCAGTATTATAGACTTTTTCACAGATGTGTTTCTTCTACTTGAACCCCCACAATAACCCATTTTAAAAATGAAGACATTTGGTTGAGGAACTTGTCCAAAATTCCACAACTAAAAAAAAAATGGCTGAGGTGTCTCCCTGCTGGGCTGTCTGGTATGCAGTCCTGTGTTCCTCACACTGAGTGCTGCAGAAAACTTCAAAAGAATCTTTTGGATATAGAACGTGATGTAACTGAAAATTTTAAGGTATTTCTGCACAACTGATCAGACTGTGTAGTCTGCCGCTTTACTGGTTCAATTAAAGAGTTTGAGGAAACAAATTACATCATTCCTTACAATGTTTGCCCACCCTAGCACTGGTGGGTGTGTATAGGTAAATTAGAAGCTATCTACAAAAGCATTAAAAATAAGTGTACACCATTGTAAAATATCATGGTATTAGATGAAACAACATAAAAAGATATGAGAAGCCACATATTTCACAATTTCCTCCTCAAAATGCCTGTATAATTTCACTGAGAAAAAAAAAGAGCAGGTGCTGGGACTTACAGCCACAGTTTTATATCATCCTTAAAGAGTCAGAAAAACTAATTGATTTTTTAAAATAAATACATATATGGCATACAGTAGATTTCCCCATTGAAAAAATAGGTGCATGAAAATAAACAATGAATGATCTGTTACCATCTGCCTAATAATGAATCAGCAACTTTGCCTCAAATGAAAAACTATAATTATTTGCACAATAAATTGGTAGACCTAGCCAAAAATGTTCTCAAGAGACATTCTGTGGAATGTGTAATTAATTACTCCAAATATTAATCTTTCTCTGAGGGTAACACCTTGTCATCTCATTGGTTTAATAGGCTATTTAAATGTGCTTTAGCCACACGTTCTCCTAGTAGAAAAGAATTATTTTAAACTGCCAATTCATGCGTTGAGCGGAAGGGAAATGGATCCACATATTCCAATAAATATATCAGCAACATAACTGTTCCATCACAAGATCATGGATGTAACCCAAGGGAAAGCTAAACAAACAATGTGATATTTAAGAAAAGAAATACTCTGCCTGCTAGTGAATCTGTATTTCTTGCATAAATTTAAATTGCAGGCTTAAAAAAGCCTCAGAATCTGCTATTCCGAAAGATGTTTTAAAACTTCACAGAGTTCTAGGCACCCCATCAAGTACAAATACTTTTCAGTTAAGTGAGTTTGTTTTATGCAATTCAGAATTACAAGTGACAAGAACTTGAAAAGACAATTGCAAAAAAAATCTTTAAAAAATGTAGCCTTGGGGCACCTGGGTGGCTCAGTCGTTAAGCATCTGCCTTTGGCTCAGGTCATGATCCCGGGGTCCTGGGATCGAGCCCTGCATCGGGCTCCCTGCTCAGCCAGAAGCCTGCTTCTCCCTCTCCCACTCCCCCTGCTTGTGTTCCCTCTCTCGCTGTCTCTCTCTGTCAAATAAATA